AAAGGCTCCGTAAAGAGTTTTCTGTAAGACAGAGAAAAACCCTAAGACACAATGACTTTGGACATAGTATATTTACCTGTGGAATAGTTTTTTGTTTTTCTTCCACTTCAGTAACACTTTAAAAAAATCCTGCCTGCCCTATTTTTTTCTTTTCTTTTTTCCCTTTCCTTCCTTTTTTTCATGAACTCCCTAATGATGTTGCCATTCTTTCCATAGCAACATGCTAGGAAACTGACTCTGCTTTGCTACAGGAATTCAAAGAAGGACCAGGGAGAGGGGAGAAGAAAATGTTGGGTGGCTGTGGGGAAGAGATTTCTAACCCTTCAGCACCTTAAAAGAATGTAGGAGACCTTAGAAAATTTTAAAAGGTACAGCTGTGTTACCCCAACTCCCTGTTCCTATTCTATACTGAGAAGGTGCCTTCTATATCCACAGGGGAAAGTTCTAGAAGCTCAACCTATCATGACACCTGAAGGTGTTCTTTCTGAAATTTTCTCTCCCTTTACTCCACTCTCTTTCAATCCTCTTGAGGACGTAACTCAACTAGCCTCTGTTTTTCAGCTTTCTTGAGGTATAGTTGACACATCAATATTCTATGTGTTTAGAATGTACAGCATGATATTTTGACACCAGCATGAATTGTGAAATTGTCACTGCCACGAAGCTAAAAAGCATATCCATCCTTTCCTATGGTTAATGATTTTTCTCCTTTGTGGTGAGAGCACTTACAATCTGAAGATCTAGACACTGAGAGTCTGGCAGATGGGAAGGAGGAAAAACAGCCCAGTGTGCCTGGTCCTGTGGTCAGCTTTCTGGCAGTCATCTCCTGTCATTCTCACAGAGACCCTGAGGGGAGGGGGAACAATCTTTCCCCAGCTCCCTGACAGAACTCTGAATCCCACCGAGTCCAGAGGGTGACCTGTGTTAGCAAGGACTCTGAGAACAGGAAGCTGGGACAGCCAGTGTCACACTGAGGTTGTTATTGTACACTAGGCCTCTGTGTTGCTCACCCAGCTTGGCTGAAGGCAGAAGAGCCGAAGCCTCCTATCAAAGGTGACAAGCAGTAATCAGATCAAACCTGCCCTTGTTCTTTCCAGCGTGACCTCCTGCCTCTCATTTCTATTCTCCAAGAGAAACTGCTGTGGGGAACTGGAGGGTGGGCAGCATGCAGAAAGGCAGGCAATCATTAAAAAGTAATACTTCTGAAGAATATGTAATGACATGGGGACATATGCACATAATGTCAAGTGAAAACCAAAGCTACAACAGTGTGACTCCACTTATGTGACTCTGGGAAAAAGCAATGGTGCAGAGACAGAAATCAGAGGTGTCTAGGGGCTGAGGGTCAGAGCTCACTCTGAGAAGGAGCAAAGGAATTGAGGGTGACAGAGTCAGAGTGGTTCTGTGTCTTGGTTTTAGTGATGGTTCTCCAATAACATGAGTTTGTCAAAATGCATAGAGTTGTACGTGAAAAAGGGTGCCTTTTATTGTCTGAAACTCAAACCTTAAGGAAAAATGGCATGTAGCTGCATTTATACATACATACAATGATTCTAACTTTTGTAAAAAGAGTTACTGACACATAATTGATAAAATTACTGATATTTGGGGCAACTGATTCTAGAACCCCTTACGGATGCCAAAATATGTCAATGATTCAGTCCCTTATATTAAATTGGATAATGTTTGCATAGACTTTGCATACATCCTTCTGTATACTTTAAAACAAGTGTCCTCCTTAGGTGCCTCCTTAGTGAAGTAGGTAGTGCATCAGTCTCATAAAACAAATTCTATATTACTTTAAACCCAGTACTATAAAGACATGTAAATTGTTATCATAATGCATGTTTAGAATAATGATAAGGAAAATAGGTCTGTATATGGTTAGTACAAAGAAAATTTTCTTTTAGAATATTCTGGACCTGTGGTTGGTTGAACCCACAGATATGGTACCTGAGGATATAGAGACCTGTTTGCATATATGTAAGGTATGCAAACCTGACATCCACCAAGTTGGAAGATGAACATATGTAAAAACATGCTGACCATGTTAACATCGGCTATTATAAGTGTAGGGATTACTCATACTTTTAATTTTTCATTTTGAATTAATGTCAATGACTTTGAATGTTTTATTATTTATTTATTATGTATAGGAGTATTCTGACTACATGGATGTATGTGTACATCCTGTGTGCAATGCCCGCAGAAGCCAGAAGAGGACTTTGGATCCCCTGAACTGTAGTTACAGATGGTTGTTAGCTGCTGTGAGGGCTCTGGGAACCAAACTAGGGGCTTTTGCAAGAGCAGTCAGTGCTCTTAACCACTAAGCTATGTCTTCAGTCCTCAACTATCAATGATGGGTTTTTTTGTTGTTGTTTTTCTTTTTGAGATAGGGTCTCCCTGTAGCCACAGTTGGCCTAGAACTCACTGTGTAGACAAGGCTGGCCTCAGTCTCCAGGGATCCACCTGCCTCTGCCTTATGAGTGTGGGGATTAAAGGTGAGTGCCACCACGCCCAACCTGGATTATTAGAATCAGGAAAATGGTTTTTTCTTTGTTTTATGAGAGAAAAGCTTGAACAGGTCACAAACCTCTGAGCCTAGCAGAAAAATAAAATGATGCCATCCACCTCTGAAGAGTGCCACCTTTTGGTGAGCCAGTGGGTAAATTTGAAGATTCAGCTTGACTGGTAACTCTGGTCATCTTTTTGTCTCTGAGAATTTCATATCTTTTTTTGGGGGGGGTTCTTTTTGAGACAGGGTCTCCTTGTAGCCCCAGCTGGCCTGGAACTCACTATGTAGGCCAGGCTGGCCTTGAACTCACAGAGATCAGCCTGCCTCTGCCTCCCGAGTGCTGGGATTAAAGGCATGTGCCACCACGCCCGGCTAGAATTTCATCTCTTAATCCATGGGTTTATAAGTATGGTGTCATCACACATTCTTGCTAATAACAGATCAAAGCCAGCATGTGATTATAATAAAGAAAAGTGGAGCTCCAGTTGTGCAATCGGTTAGTGCACATACTTAAAAAAACAAAGAAGAGCAGTGTTTCATATGTTGTGAACATGCAATACCTATAACTGAAACTGAGAAACTGTCATGCTATGATCTATGCATTGCAGCAGGAAAAAATAGCCGAGAACCAGTGCCTTCCTCAAACACTGATCAAACAGATCTCCTGAGCTGTTGAACTGATTACAAGTCCAGCATGTAGCTATTGCTAATGGCACACCCAAGGAAACTCAAGATGCACACCTCAAGCAGCTAACCATGTAAGCAGGAGAGATGGGTGATGGATGTGAAGGGACAAGTGCATAGAGACCTGGATGATGGGAGAGATTAGTGTGGGAGCAGTGGTCAGAAGAAGTGAGCTTTCCTGGCCAAGTGGGACCACAGCTGAGCTCTGAAGTTCAAGAAGCAACAGAGGTTACAAATGAGATGGGAAGGGTTGGGGCTATAGTTCAGTGAGAAAGCACTTGCCTGGAATGTAAAAGGGTGCAAGGATGTGGGTTCAATCCCCAGTAAATACACACACACACACACACACACACACACACACACACACACAGATGGATACTCCAGGGGGAACAGTTTGGGCTAGGGGTTGGCAAACTGCGGTCTGCCTCTTGTTTTTGTAAATAAAGTTTTATTTGAAATACAGTCAATGGCATACTTGTATAATTGTAACAGAGACCTTTTGGCCTACACAGCCTATAATCCGGGTACAACTGAGGCCACTGGGAAGCCAGGAAAAGATGATGGGCATGGTACTGTGGTGAGTGGAGACAGATGCTCTAGGGCCTTGGAAACTAGGTCTGAAGCTTTAGTTTCTAGGCAAGCTCAACAGCACAGTATTTGCTGGGGAGGTAGAGGTTCTAGGGATCAGAACCAGCCATCAGTTAATCCTGGTGGGTCTGAAAGTGATAGTCTCACCACTGGGGCCATAAGAGACTGGCCTGCAGTGGCTCCAATACCACTGTACACTGGGAAAGGCTGCCTCAGCAGGGACAGCGAGGTTCAGGGGGACCTGGTGGTGAGGGCCCTCCCTGCCAACACCCACCTACAGCCCAGGAGGCTTTGGCTCTTTGAATAAACTCCGATGCTGTGAGCTGAGCACAGACATCTTAGGGAGGGAGGAGGAGGGCCCCACAAGCACAGTGAGGGCCAGGAGTAAAGGATATGAGTTATACCCCAGCTTTCTTCTCCCCTCTCCCATTAACATCGTCCCCTGTCTCCAGTTCAACCCCCTACTGTTCAGTTGGGCTCCACCCTTCCATCTCAGCATGAAAATGGCCCTCAAAACTAATTCTCTCTTATTGGCCACCTCAAATGCTGTGCTAGGGTCTACTTTAGTATTCAGGGCCCATTGCAATACTCAGCAAAGACTCAGGGAGGGGCGTTGGGGGGAGCTAATAAAAATGGTCCCTACGCAACTGCAATAAGAAAGGAGGGTAGGATGTAGTCTCTAATTTGAGACTAGTAATTCCTGTGTCTCAGTTTCCTCATTTGTCAGATAGGGTGAGATGTGAAATTTACTTCACATGACTGTAAGGATTAAGTGAGTTTAATAAAAGAAGAGTTCCTGGACAAAGCAAGGTAAGTACTCAGTAAATCTTGGTTATCAGTTTTTTATTAGAAGCTAGGTGAGCTCAGACAGGAGTAGAAGAGTCCTGAGGGCCATGGAAAGAAGAGGAAGAAAGGCGGGATCATTTCTAATGAGGGGATGGAAGGTCCCAGAGTGGAGGTAAAGTGTAATCTTTGGGCTTACTAGGCTGAACTTATATTGTGATTGCTGATATCTGCTCTGGGTAATGGAGGTGCAGGGGTGGTGTGTGTGCTTTCCTGGTCTGTGTTCTGCTTGTTTCAGGATTTAAACACATTAGGGCACACTGGTAATTCTAGCAGGACAGGCTACATTGTGGATTTTTTTTTTTTTTTAAATGTCTATAGCCCCAAGGGATTGTTTGGGAAGTAACATATCCTTAGGGAAGGCACATACCCTGGCTGGAAAACACTGTGTTAGTCATCAGTTCTGATTGTGGCCTGGTGCCTGATCTTCATCAGCTCACCCTTTGGCTCAGGTCCTAAGGATCTATGTCTGATTCTGTGAGGAAGAGAGAAATAAAAATAAAAAGCTGTCTTAATAGAAACCTGGGGCCTTGTGGTAGATTATAGTGTGGGGCAGGGGTGAGATGAGGCAGAAAGCTTCTCTTCACCACTGGGCTGAGGTATGGAGAGCGTAGCCGGCTGTGTCAGAGGATGGTGTTGATGCTGTGTGGCCTTAGGGGCAAGGACAGGAATCCAGGGGCCCCTATTCTATAAGGGTTAGAAGTGGTTATTTAGGGGCTAGAGAGATGACTAAGTGGTTAAGAGCATTGGCTGCTCTTTCAGAGGACCCGGGTTTGGTTCCAGCACCCATATGGTGGCTAACAACAGCATGTAATTCCAGTACCAGGGGATACCATGCTCTCTTCTGACCTTCGTAGCACTGCAGGAAATACACTCATATATATAAAAGAAAAAATAAAATATTAGAAAAAAACTTCTTTAAAAAAGTGGTTATTTGGTGGCTCATTAGAGTAAGGAACACCTGCAGAGTTCCCCAGGACTTCTGGAAACAGGGATTGGAAATGATCAGTGCCTAGAGGCCTCAGACAGTGGGTAGGGACACGGCTTCATGTAGAGTGACCCAACTTAGAGCCCCAAACTGGGCATGGCTAAAAACACAGGTCCTAATACACAGTGGGGGATGAGCGCTCCCGTGGCAGAGAGAGGAAGTTTCTAGTCCCCATGTAAAGAGGCTGAGATGCAGGGAGGCTGCATAGAGGTAAGGGTTGAGACAGATGAGGTGATGGATTTTGAAAAGTAAGGATGCCCTGGGCTGGGAAAGTGACCAGGGGAAGCACAGAGGTTGAAAGGGACTGCTGGGCCAGGATGCAGGGACCAGGGGGGATGGGGTTTGAAGGGCCAGGAGTGGAGATGGAGTTAGGAGAGGCGGGGACTGTGGAAGGTGTTGGAAGGTTGTGTCTGTTTCTAGTCACTAGGGGTACAAGCTAGTAGAGGGAATACTCCAAGGAAACTGCTAAATGACAGGACGAACAAGTGGAAGGAAGGAATTAAGATTTTAGAGAGGGCAGAACTCCCCGGTGTTCACTGAGAGTAACCTGGGAAGGAAATCCTACTGGTCTTTTGAAGGCAAGCAAATCTGTAAAACAAGATGATGACCAAACACAGCAAAGAACTAAGGTGGTGCGTGTTCACGCAAAAAGCACGGGTGCAAGAGGTGCACGGTGTTCTCAGCCCCACCCTCAAAAGAGCCCTTCTAGGTAAGAAGAAAAGGAGAAAGGCCCTGAAGCCGCTTTCCAGGGAATTGAAGAAGGCACAGAGCAAAGGCATGATCAGAAGTGTTCCCAGGATGCAATGCAACTTCCTCCCAGTGTGGAGTGGGGGAGGACCCCTCTTAACCCTGTCCTCTGTGCACCTTCCCAGTCTCCTCTCAAAAGGATGTGACTGGATGATGCACAGGCCAGGTCGCCCTGCCCAGCAGGGACTCTGCTATGAATGAGCGTCCTCTCCTTGTTCTTGTCTCCATGCCTGTCTTTGGACCCTTGCTGGGAAGGAGGAAAACCAGGCCAAAGCCAAGATGAAAGGGCCTGTAATCTCATAAAAGAGTCTGGCGGATGCTCTGAAAGGAGCCCGCACCTGCCTTTTGCACTTCAAGGCAGGCAGTGTGAAACTCACGAGGGAACAAGCCTGTCTGCCCTTCCCTTAGGTGCCTGAACCCGGTCAGCCATGTTTAGGGATATCGAGAAGACTAACCATAGAAGCCTCAGGATCTGGAACCTGCCTCAGGGAAGAGATTTCAGACTACTCCTCCCCTTTCCTAGTGTGATGTGGCATTTATCCTTTAGCAGCCTCTTTGGACTTGAGGTGACTGGGTGGTGGTGAGACGTACCAGAGCTGCAGGCTAGCCTTTCGCTATGCTCACCGAAGTAAGACCACCAGAACCAAACAAATAAGCCGACTTACAATGGTCAGTGGAGCCTTTTCTGCTTCTGTTTGCCCTCCTGAGACTTTATGCAATCAATGCTGCTAGACCCCAAAGCAGGATGGCATCCTGTTTCTCACCCAGCACTAGGAGAGAAAATTTGTCCAGCAATGTGAACCCAAGAAATCAAAAGAAATGGATGGTTTTCCAAATAAAATTCCCCAATCGATCAGATCAGGACGTCTAACAGATTTCTTAGAATCTATTTATTGCTTCCCACAAATGGTCCAGGAGAAGCTTGGGGAGGTCTCCAAGGGTGTAGGGAACATGCTGTTCTGGGTTGTGAAACACAAGATGGTGAGTGCATCTGCAGGAGGCAGAGGGAACTGGGACACAGCTTAACTGAGGGGAGTTCATTTACTCTCATGGTATGGCCGGGTCACGTCTGTAGGATCACCGGATCTTGGTTTTCTGCCTTAGCTCTGAAACTGCATCCAAAGGGGGAAGGCATCCAAAGGACCCAGAAGCCCCCATGCTACTCCTGGTGCCTACTTCAGGGACCACACTGGGGAGGCAGACCTGATCTGCTCTGGGCCTGGGGATTAGATCGTGTCTTAGTTCATTTCCTGTTGTTATAACAAAATACTCAAGGTTGGGTACTTCATGAAGAAAAGAGGATAATTTACCTCACAGGTTTAGAGTTTGAAAATCCAAATCAAGAGGCCCCATCTATTGGGCCTCTGGAGAGGGTCCCTCTGGCTACATCACAGCACAACAGCAGAAGGGAAAATGACTACATGGAGAAGAGACCAAGTTGGTAGTGGGCTCACTTTCTAACAACTTGCTTTTGGGAAAACTAACCCACTCTGCAAGGCCAGCATTAATTCCTCCTGGGGCTGTATCCCTACGGCTTAATTACCTTATACTAGGCCCCATTCCTTAAAGGTTTTATTGTCTCAAAAATATCACAGTGGGTACTAAGTTTCTGGCTCCTGGGTCTCTGGGGGACGTACTCAAACTGATCTTTAAGGTGCTTCAGCGCCTGCCCTTTAGGACTCAGAGATGCTTAAGATCATTTGCACAAAGTTGAGAGTTCTCAGTGCCACAGAGTCAGCGGGAAGAGCAGAGGGTCCCAGGATGCCCCCTCATGGCTGTGGGGAACCGGACCTAAAAGATCCAGCCTTGATTTCGATTTGGAGAAGGTAAAGAAGGAAGACCAGATATTTGCATTGGAGAGTAACACTGAACTGTGGTCAGTGCCTACTGAGTGCCTACTGTGCCACAGTAGGTCTCAAAGGAGGACTGGAGAGATGGCTCAGAAGTTACAAGCACTGTCCACTCTTGCAGAGGACCTGGGTTTGGTTCTCAGTACCCACATGGTGGCTAAGAGCCTTCTGTAACTCCAGTTCCAGGGGCTCTGAAACCCTCTTCTGACCTCCATGGGCATTGCACAGCACAGGTGCACTTACATATGTTCAGGCAATACACTCATACACATGAAATAAAAGTAATAAGTAAAAAAAATGTTGACGTCTCAAAGGGAGACACGTCACCCCAGAGCAGTTTCTCTGGGAATGAATCAACCACAGCCTGATAAGAGAGCATGGATGATAAAATAGAGAAAGCTGCTTCTGCTGGAGTGTCTGCATTAGCCTGTAAGACTGACTACTCTGTAGAAACTCACTGTTTCGGGAAAGGAAAGCACTTGTGAGCTTTAATTAGCTGGGGTTTTGGTAACTGTGAATCTTGGAGGAGATAAAACATGGCGTGAAGGTCCTGGGAAGGAAGATCTTGGTTTTGCCCTGTGAATGGCAGCACCTTACAGTGATGCAGAGATGAGGCCCGGGCCGAGCAGGGCCTCAGGCATGGCTAGGAAATAACCGGGTGGGCCTCTGTGCTTTGTGAATTACAGAAAAATGCCATCTGCTCCAGCTGCTGACAACTGTGGTGTTCTTGCTCTGGCTCACCGTTTGTTACAGTGACCTTGGCTTGTGGGACTGAAGTGCCTCGAATGCTTTTCTGACCCCTCTGGCTTAGTGCATGCTGCCATCTCCACCGTGCCAGCCTGGCAGGGAACTGGCTTCCAGGAGTAGGCAGCATGGTGCAAGCAACAGCAGCTCAGTGCTGCTGGTGGGCTGCCTGTTTTCCTGCTGTCTCCTCTGAGCACCTCAGTGGTACCAAGGACTGTACCAGGTACTTGCAATGCAACAACAGGTCATCTTTTCTCCTGATTTCAAGGTTGATAAAATCACAGAGACGAGATAAGTTCTGTGAATGAAGGGAGCAGAAAGTATTAGGCAAGCAGTGGCTAGAGTGTCCAATTGGGGGTATCCAGGAGACTATATTGAGGCCATAGCTCTAGGATGGATCCATCCATAGAACTGACAGCTCACTGGGATTCTGTGCACATATCTTCCTCTCTACCAACAATCTGTGATATCACAACCCTTTCTTTGTCCCAGGAGAAGCAGGGAAGGAGGGGATTGGCTCAGGAAAGAGCTACAAGTGACTCGAAGTATAAGCCTAGGGTCAAGTCTAAGACCAAAGGGTGCTACACTCCAGCTTTCAGAGAGGACACTGCCCAACTTTTACAGTCATCTCAGAGCCCTCTGGGTGTGGTCTGCTGAGGTTGGAAGGCCTGGGCCTTCTCTCTCAGCCTCTTCTTGCATGGGGAATAGCAAAATTGCTGGGGATCATCTTCAGCTGCCTCATGCCCAGGCCTCAGAGGCAGATGCAGCTGTCTGGAAGCCTCTGGGGGCAGGACACATGCTCATGAACTCTTTCCTCAAACCTCAGCCAAACAGGTGGGCAGGCTGCCACAGGACTATCTTTTGGGGACGTGGGAGCTGCTAAGAAGTGCAGAGAGCCAACTTTGGAGAAGGGAATAAGTGGTTTCAAATCCAAGTTCTGGCCATGCAAACAGTTTTTAGTCACTTTGTTCGTAATAGAAAGTGTCTGTCAGCACATGAATAAATCAAATGTGGTTTGCACATACAATGATATCCTCTTTGACAAAAGGAATAAAGCATTGGCATGTGCTATAACATGTACAAATCTTGAAAATGCTGTGGTAAGTGAAGCCAGTCATGAAAGACTCCATATGGTCTGATTCCATT